GCGTCGGCGGCGTGGTGGGCACGCACGAGCCGAGGACACATGTCGAGTCTTGCCCGCAGGCAGGGGTGCACTGCGTCGGCGGCGTCGTGGGGACACAGGTGCCGAGGATGCACGTCGAGCCCTGGCCGCAGGCAGGGGTGCACTGCGTCGGCGGCGGCGTCGTGGGCACGCAGGTGCCGAGGATGCACGTCGAGCCCTGGCCGCAAGCAGGGGTGCACTGCGTCGGCGGCGGCGTCGTAGGCACGCAGGTGCCGAGGATGCACGTCGAGCCTTGGCCGCAAGCAGGGGTGCACGAGGTCGGGTCGGGAATGACGGGCGTCGTGATGCACTGGCCGAGGATACACTTCTTGCCGTCGGTGCATGCTGGCGAACACTGCGTCGGGTCGGGCTTGTCGACGCACTGGCCCAGGATGCAGAGCTGGTTGGCGGTGCACGACGGGCAGGTCGGCGTGATGATCGGAGGCACGCAGACGCCCAGCAGGCAGGTTGCGCCGTTTGTGCAGGCCGGCTCGCAGGTCGTGGGGATCACCGGAGGGAGCGTTGTGCACTTGCCAGCGAGACAGAGGCTCGTGGACGGGCACGGAGGAGAGCACGTCGCGGGAGGAAGCGTCGTGGGGACACAGACGCCGAGGATGCAGGCATCCGTGCCAGTGCAGGCAGGCGAGCACGTCATCGGCGGGACTGTGACCTTGATGCAGATGAAGTTCTTGATCTGCAGCTCGACGTCGACGAGCGCCTCGACACACTGCTCGTCGGCGGCGCAGTTGCAGCCGCTCGTCGGCGGAGGCGTGACGATGACCGGCGGCGGCTTGCAGGTACCGTCCTGGCACGTGTTCGGCAGCGTGCAAGCGGGGCCAGCGCCACAGCCGGTAGGAGGAGGCTGGACAATGGGGCCGCACGTGCCGTCACGGCAGACGTCGGGCAGAGTGCATGCCGGGCCCGTGCCACAGCCTGTGCCCGGGGGCGTAATGACGATCGGCGGCGTGCAGACGTTGTTCTGGCACGTGTCGGGGAACGAGCACGCCGGGCCGCTGCCGCAGCCGGTCGTCGGGGGCGTCACGGTGCCGGGAATGCACGTCGAGCCGACACACGTCTCGCCCGACTTGCATGGCGGGTTGGAGCCGCACGACGGAGGGTTCGTCGGCGGCGGCGTCGTGCCGGGGATGCAGGAGCCGGAGATGCACGTCTGGTCCTTGGGGCATGCCGACGAAGGGCCACACTGCGGTGGGTTGACGGGTGGGTTGCCACCGCCGGGAGTCGAGGGGTTGCCACCGCCGGGGGTAGAAGGGTTGCCGCCGCCGGGGGTGGAAGGGTTGCCGCCACCGGGAGTCGAGGGGTTGCCGCCGCCAGGCGTGCTGGGGTTGCCGCCGCCGGGAGTCGAGGGGTTGCCACCGCCAGGCGTCGAAGGGTTGCTGCCGCCGTTGCCGGGAGTGGGGCCACCGCTGCCAGGCGTGGAGCCTCCGTTGCCGCCGGGTGTCGAGCCGCCGTTGTTGCCGCCAGGTGCCGAGCCGCCGCTGCCGCCAGTCGAAGGAGCGTCGGCGACGCACTTGTTGTTCTCGCAGTGCGTGCCGGGGCCGCAGAGACCGTGGCAGGGAGTCGTGTCGACGGGAGGAAGCGGGCACGAGGCCGAGGGACCGGAGGGAGCGGGCGACGTCGAGCCGGAGCCGGGTGCCTTGGGCGTGACCTTGAACTGGCAGATGCCCTTCTCGACGTCTGGTGGGGGGATGCGGGTGTCAGTGGAGGAGCGCGTGGCGCTCGGCAAAGCCTCCGAGACTCACTGCACTTCTTGCGGCCGTCGTCGCAGTGCGTCTTGTCGGCGGAGCAGCGCTGCACGCAGTGGTAGCCGTCGTGGTAGCGGAACTTGATGCACTTGTCCTGCTTGCCGCACCTGGGCGAGCACTTGCTGGCGTTGGACCACCAGTGGCGCGCCTCGATGTCGACGATGTCGGCCGAGCGCGCGTCGAGGAACGCGGCGGGCGCGGCGGCCGCGTCGACGCTCGGACGCGCAGTGACGACAGAGGCGCTGAGCGCGACAAACGCCGCGAGAAGAAGGTTGGCCCTCATGCTGGGCGGCGCGAGAGCGCGCGAGGGGGAGTGTCTTGGGTGATGGAGTGGCGCGGCAGAGGCGGGTGGAGGGTATGGAGGATGCGGTACCGAAGAGCGAAGGAGGCTGCGCCGAGCCGGAAGAAGTGGAAGAGGAGGAGCCGGAGGGGAGGGGCTTGAGGGGAGGAGGGGGAGGGAGGGAGCCTGGGGAGCTGCTTCTGGGGCTCGACGAGGGGCCTCGTCTTATAGGCCCAGGACGCCGCAGCGACGAGGAGCGACGAGGGCTCGGCGGAGGGCACAGCCGAGGTGCCCAGCGGCGGTGCACCCTGCTGCCCTGGGGTGCCGTGCTCCTCTCGCTGCGCATGGTCCCCGTGATTCATGCAACGCATTGGGCGTGACAGTGCACCTGCATGCTGCGACGCCTGGACGACGGCCAGTGCGGGCGGTGTCAAGGGCCCACACGCACTGGACGAGTTGCGAGGGCGGTGCGGCAAAACTGCGGCGAACAAGGCGCAGCTCGACGGAGCTGCGGCGGTGCTGCAAGCACCCTGCAACAAGGCTGCAGGGGCATGACAGGCAGGCGAGCGAATGCGGTGCGGAATCGACAGGTCGACGGCCGGGACCCGCACGGCCGTGTGCTGCATCGCTGGCCGAGCTGATCGGCAAGCGGACGGCACGGCGGAGTGTCCGGGCCAGAAGCGATCCGACGGCTGGCCGATGCGGGCGCTGCACTTGGCCAGGGTTGCAAGGGGCGCTGCTTGCGTTGTGCCGAGGCTCATGCGCCCAGAGCAGACGCTTGGGGCGCATGTGGCAGGCGTGGGAGTGCCGCAAGGCAACGCTCTGGTCCGAGGCTAGCGCCGGGCGAGGTGGCCGCACCGTCGCGGTGCCTGGTCGACGCAGCGGCGCCGGATGAGGATCAAGGCTGCTCTCGTGGATGTGCTTAGTCGATCGGCCGCCGTGGAAGCCTGCAAGCGGCGGTTGGGCCAGGCACCCACGCCCAATCGTTGCTCGCAGCAGCCGGGCATACTCCGCTAGCGCAGCATATGGACGAGCGTTGTTGGCCTGTCGAGGGCGCCAAGTCAGCAATGCAGGGGCAGCAGCGGCTCTCCGGCAGCAAGGCAGGCGCCGCATGGGCGTAGCGAAAGCAAGGCATGGCTCCCACACGTCCGACGAGCCCAACCACATGCGGTGCGGAACACTCTCGCGAAGACGACCAGCGGCGGACGCACAGCCGAGCGGCCGGCGCTCCCACAGCGAGCGAGCGAGCGCGCCTCCGCGGACCCTCCAGCCGACGGCAGCCGTGGGCGGACCTACGCCGAGCGTGGGAGGCGAGGGCAACCGCACGCTGCGAGCTCTGTGCGCCCTGCTTGCGGCCACGGGCGAGACATCGGATGAACGCTGCAGCAGAGCGCAGCGCGGGTGCTGGACGCAGCGCGAGGCCACCCTCCGGCTCGGCGTCCAGCAGCCGGCCGGGCGAGCAGCTCGCACCTCGTATGCGGCCGGCACGGCAGCTGGCGCCGGCAGGCGCACCGCTCGACGCTGCTCTGCCGCTCTGCACGCTCGGGGAGGCGAGTGCGGCGACGCCAGAAGCGGCGTGCGCGTGCTCCAGGGGGTGCCGTTGGCAGACGTTAGTGGCGGCGTGGCGCTTTCGCCGCGCGTGCACGAGCCGCAGCAAGATGCAGCCGCCCGGCCGCCGCCGCGCGAGCAGCAGCCGGCAGAGCGCAAGCCGCGGCGGCCAGCCCACGCGACATGCTCTATGCGCTGCCTCATGCTCCGCCCGCTTGCCCTCCAAGCAACGCCTCGCCCCGACCCTGCGGCTCGCTTGCGGCTACAAGCGAAGCAACATGCCGCGGCAGAGACGCTGCGCGCGGGAAGCACTGCGACGGCGGAGTCTGGTCCGCGGCGGCGCCACCGCACCGGCCGAGGGGGCAGGATGAGCCGGCCCAGGTCGCGACAGAGCTCTCATGCCGCGACCCAAGGCCGAGGCGAGGCGCAGAAACAAGGGCCAAATCCAAAAAGAAGCTGCACTGCCGAGTCGCCGTCTGAATAGGGCGTGCGTCGCCCGCGACATTTAGGCTTGTGCTTGCTCTGCGCACGGCACTCGCGTGGGACCGCGACCTGCCAGATGCGGCGCGCGGGAGCAGCGCGTAGAAGCGACGCCCGACTCCGCTCGACGAACCCTGCAGCGGCACACCACTCCCGCGGCGCCGCAACGCAGCATGCAGGCAGACAGACAGCAGCGCAGCATGGCAGACAGGCGGCGTGCAGGCACCATGCGGCCTTGGCTCGGCGCTGGTGCTGCGCTCCTGCGCCGCGTGCCGACTCGCCTGAGAGCAGCCTAGGCTGGGCTGTCTCGCAGACAGCTCAGCTGCACGCAGGGCAGCCTGCCATCTTGCCATGCTGCGCTGCTGCAGATCAGGCACAAAGTGCTGCTCGGCCACGTCCCGCCGGCAGATGCCCGGCCTGCGCTCCGCACGCGCTGCGGCAGATGAAGCGGGCGCCCGCATCGTCCTGCCGTCTCCGCATCCTACGATGCCGCTTTCCGCGGCACAGTCTCTCTCAGCATGAGCCTACTCACAGTCCCGACATTCCGAGAGTCGTGGCTGCGCTGTGCGCGTGACTGCGAGCTGAGAGCTTGTCGAGCGGGACGGCTGGCGTCGGCCGTGCGTGCGAGGGTCTCGCCCGATGCAGCGCGCCGCCGCGTGCAGTCGTCGAGAGCAAGGAGTGGTCGCGCGTGTGCGTGTGCGCCAAGGGGCCTCGGCGCAGCCCGCAGCTGAGCAAGATGGGCCTCCGATCGGCAGGGCTAGGCTGCTGGCCTAGTGCCCGACGCGCGTTAGCCTCGAGCCGACGGCTCACTCCATCGCGGCTGCTCACCGCGCTCCGTCGCATTCGACATTCCCAGAGCGCGCATCGCCAGGTGGAGGCCTCGGCTCGGGGAGGGGCCTGCGTCGCTGCTGCGCTCTGCAGCTCAGCCGCGCGGAATGGCAAGGCGCGGCTTCATCGCCGTGCTGCAAGGATGCCCTCGTCGGCGTCGGTGTGCCGCGGCCGCCGAGGACGCGAGCATGTCTCACCCATGAGGACAGCGAAAGGAGCGGCCCCTGAGAACAGGCGTCGGCAGGAGCGCAGGCTAGCGGGCGCAGGAGCCGCTCCCAGAGCGACGCATTGGGCCGCACGCCGCATGGGCGAGCGAGCCGCTGGCAGCGCGAAGGTGGGGCGGGGAAACTGGCAGGCCACACCGCAAGGTACGGCGTCAGCGGGAAGCCTCGCGCGTCGGCGGCGGCTGCCGAGAGAGATCCGCGGTCGAGGTGCCGGTGCTGCGCCCGCGACGCAGGGGCATGGCAGCAGAGCAGCATGAAGGCCGCTCATCAGCAGCGCCAACGCAATGCGGCGATCTGGCCGTTGATGGTCGACGCTCAACTTGCTCGCTTGCAGCGTTGCCGCGCAACCTTGCGCAAGCGGGCGCACGACGGCGCCAGAGCAGGGAGAGGGCGCGGCAGCGCGGCGCCAGCGCCCTCTCCGCGCGCTCGCTTCGTCTTGCTGCCGCTACGCGTGCACGCACGGGGCACGCAGAAAATGATCGTCCGATGCTGCTCCTCGCACGCCCTAAACTTGCGCTCGAGGCGCCTTGCAAATCAGGCACGCCGCGCTGCGAGCAAGACGTGGTGCACGACGCTCTGCGCACATGCCAGCTGAGATCAGCGCGAGCGAGGGCGTCGCGTGTCCATCGCGAGGGGTGCGCCAAGCTAAGCTCGTGCACGGGCTCGTGCGCAGCCCTAACTCGCGGCAGCTCTCCTTGCCCGACTCGACCCTACTCACCGCTCGTCGTGCCTTGTCGGCCGCATCTCGACCTCCGTCGGCTGTGCTGCTGCGCGCTGAGTCAGAGATTCGACGTCACACGCTCGTATCCTCCACCTCGTCGCTCTGAGGCGTGCCGGCCGAGTTCATCCACCGCTCTGCGCGCTGCGGTGCGCTCTCATTCTGGCGGCTTCGGCGAGCATAGACATTTTGCACTCATGCTGCCGCGCACGGACAATCGTCTCGCTGCTGCTGCGTCGTCTCGCTGCGCCTGAGCGAGGTCTCGAGCGTTCGCTAGCGCCTCGCCGCATGGGGTCGTCCAGGGGTCTCGCACAGCGTTGAGCCGAACCGTGCGCGAGAGCGAAAGAAGCTCGCGCTCTGCCCGTGAGAAGCAACGTCGCGGACAAAGAGCATGTCAGCGCCTCCCTGCACCAGCGCCGTCTGTCGTGGCTGTCGCCTCGACGTTGCATGAGAAGGGCCCCACGCAGCGCGCAAACGTAGCGGAAGATGCGTGTGATGGGTACGCCGCATGAGAATAGCCGCTGTCTCACTGACGCGAAGTGCGGCCGCATGCCGGCCGCATGGCAGCTGCTGGCGGTGCGTGTCCACCCGCCGTCGTGCCTGCACGGCCCACCTCGGCCAGAGCTCTAATTCCACGCCTGCGAGACACGCAAGCGACTCACGCCGTGCCAGCCATTGCCAGAGCGGGAGCTGTATCGCACGCAAGGGTCAGGCCAAGCGAGACCGCATAGAGAGAGCGAGCCGAGGCGGAGTTGGCCCAAGAGCGCAGCCTCGGCCAGCACAGCCCCCCAGACCCCACAAGCGCGGTCTCGCGGACCTCGAGCGTAGCTCGAGAGCTTTCGCTCTCCTCACACAGCGACGCCAGGCTAGCCAAAGCCGGTCGCCTTCGTAATCAGAATTAAGGCGCTGCCGACCCTTCGACGTCGGCGAGGAGGCGACATGCGAGCGACCTTGCAGCCGTCGGCTGAGGATGCGCACCAGCGCAGGCACCGCGCGTACGGCGCCGCGCGTACGGCGCCGGCGCCGCAAGCAGCCATCCTGCATCAGCGCTCATGCGCCGCGCCGTCGCCGCAAGCAGCTAGGCGCGGGAAAAGCGCTCAGCCGGCCAAGCGCTCAGACCTTGGCGCAGCCGTCTTGCTTTGCCGACGCCAGCGAAAGCGAGCTTGTGCCTGAGCGGCTGCTGAGAGGGAGAGAGAGAGAACTCACGTGCGCTGTGCCGAGAGCCGGCCGGGTGAGGAGCGCCTGGTGAAGCAGCGCCTCGGCCACGCGCGACTCGCGGCGTCGATGGTCGAGCACGGCGCGCCGCCGAGCTGTACGGCGACGTGGCGACCTCGTCCTCCATGACTGGCCCTGAGACAAGCCTGAGCTGAAAGGCCGCGAGTTGCTGATCAAGCTGACGCCGAGCTTGATTTTGAGGGTGATGGCGGAGCAGCAGCAGGCTTGCTCGCCGTCGCAGCGGCGTCTAGGAGGTCTAGAGCTCGGCCTGTCCCTGCGCGAGCGACTCTGCGTTCCCACGCCGCCTCTTGGCTGGCTCCGCTTCCCCGCACTTTGACGCGTGCGCCGCCGCGATTGCCGGCTCCCCCGCACGGCAAGAGTCGCGCCCCGGCTCATCCGCTGCCGGCGGCCGCTCGGCCACCGCGGCCGCCGTGCCCACTGCCGCCGGGCGCAACTCGCCGGTGTCTCATCTCGCATCCTGCGCTCTCACCACCTCCTCAAGCACCCACCCCAACACCAAAGCAAGCATGGGCGACGACCGCGAGAAGCACGTCTTTCGCTCCGCCGTGCCCAGTCACGCGCCTTACCCGGATGACCTGGACGTCTATGTGCGTTTCGCAGCTCTTCTCGCCTAGCCTAGGCTCTTGTCTCACCCGCTGACCCTCGCCGCTGCTCCGCCTCGCCGCACGCCCCCAACAGTCGTTCATCTTCGAGCACTTCCCTGCTTCGCGGCCCGACCCGCGCGGCCGAACGCAGCCGCTGCTCGTAGACGACGAGACGGGCGAGGGCTGGACGTTTGAGGAGTGCAAGCAGCGCACGGACGCCCTCAGCGTCGGCCTGCGGGAGAAGTGCGGCGTCTGTGAGTAGTGCAGCACGAGAGAGAGCTCCGACGGCCTTGAATCCTCGTTGGCGTGGGAAGGAGCACAGCAGACGCTACGACCCCTGAGTCAGTTCGGGAAGGCGCCTCTCTATTGCTCCTTTCCTCCGACGGCCAGCAGCTTCACCCGAGACCCTCGCAGGGTCCGCGCAAGAGGCCGAGCCGCCGGTCTTGTCCCGCCTTGTCGCGCCTGTCCCGCCTGTCCCGTTGCTATTCCCAGCTGACTCTGTTTGTCTAGCCTGGGACACCGTCGCCGCGCTCTACTCGTCCAACTCCGTCTACTACCCCATCGTCCTCTGGGCAGTGCACCGTCTCGGCGGAGTCATTTCCGCCGCCAATCCGGCGTTTCAGCCTGATGAGCTGGCGTACCAGCTGGATGCAAGCAAGGCCTCGGTACTGCTTGTCGGCTATGAAGCGAGAGCGGCGGGCTTCAAGGCGGCGGACAGGGCGGGCATTAGCAGAGACAAGGTCGTCATTGTGTGTGACCCGGCGGTGGTGCGGCAACACAAGGGGCAGGAGAAGATCGAGGGCTCGTGGACGGTGCGTACTTGCTTCTTGTGTGGCGACGAGAAGGCCGTGCCGCTGAGACGCAAGGACAGGTCACTGGCCTCATTGCCGCCGGCGAAGCAGCCATTCGCGCTGATTCCAAGGCGCTGGACCGCCAGCGACGAGCGCTGGCAAAGGGCGAAGGCCGCAAGAAGCTCTCGTTCCTCTCCTTCTCGTCGGGCACGACGGGCCTGCCCAAGGGCGTCGCCATCCCGCATTCGTCGCCGATTGCCAATGTCCTCCAGATGGCCAGCTTCAATGAGGTGGCGGCCAAGTTTGGCGAGAAAGAGGGACGCTTCAGGCCAGGCGTGGACGTCAGCCTCGGGCTCTTGCCGTTCTATCACATCTATGGCCTCGTCATCGTGCTGCAGTGAGCGATGATGCAGCGTCTCAGACTGGCGTAGCACTGACAGGGCGCAAAGCTTCACATTCTACATCGGTGTGACAACGGTCGTCGTGCCGCGGTTCAAGGGCATCGTGCCGATGCTGGAGAGCTGCGTCAAGTACAAGATCTCCATCTGGTGCGCCTGAGACCACATCTGTCAGCTCTGAGCACCGCTCACACGATGTACGTACAGGTGGCTTGTGCCGCCGCAGGTGGTGCTGCTGTGCAAGGATCCCGGCGCGAAGAAGTACCACGCCGAGCTCGCCAAGGTGCGTGCGCGTCTGCGCCGCCTTTGGGGCTGCTGCTGTCAAGCATCACGCATCTGACAGAGGCCACAGTTCGTCCGCTTCGTCATGATCGGCGCCGCACCCCTCTCAGACGATCTCTCGCGACAGCTCGATGCGATTTTGCCTGGCGTGAGTCGTCCCAGACCTTACCCGAGGCACCCATGCTTACCCCGCACCCGTCCCGACCCTCCTGTACCTCCCCAAACCCTCATATTACGGCGCGGAAAGCTACATGGCCAAGGATACGGCATGACAGAGACCTGCACGGTGACGTTGATGCATCCACTCAACACAAAACCGGTGATGGGGTCTGCGGGAAGACTTGTGACCGACACAGACGCGCTTGTGGTGACGACGGACGGCAATGTGTGCGGCGTGGAGGAGCGCGGCGAGCTCTGGATCCGCGCCCCGCAGAATACGCTTGGCTACTTCAACAACAAGCAGGCGACGGAGGAGATGTTCCTGAAGGGCAACTGGGTGCGCACGGGAGATGAGGGTGAGTGTCGGGTACGCGTCGCAGTGCTGCCGCGGAGGCTGACCCTCCGACCCTTCTCTCCCCCTCTTTCTCCTCTAGTGTACTTCAACAAGGACGGCGACTGCTTCATCACCGACCGGCTCAAGGAGCTCATCAAAGTCAAGGGCTTCCAAGTGGCGCCCGGTGAGTGCTCTCCGCCGTCGCGCCACGCTTCGCCGTCTGACTTAGATTCTTCTCCTTTGCAGCGGAGCTGGAGGGCTGGATCCTCAACCACGCCGACGTGCGCGACTGCGGCGTCATTGGCTATCCGGACGAGGATGCCGGCGAAGTGCCGTGCGCCTTCATTGCGCTCTCGGAAGACGCAAAGGCGCGCGTGGAGAAGAATCAGGGCGAGATCGAGAAGAGTGAGTGTGTTTCGAAGCGTGGTCGCTTGTGAGGCATGGACGCTGCATCGCGCCGTGCTGACACTCTCCATTCGTCTGCCACCCAGTCAAGGCGAGCGTGGCGAAGCACGTGTCGGACACGAAGGTGCACTACAAGCGTCTTGGGCGCGTCGAGATGTGAGTCGAGTTCTAGACCTCTCCCTCCTCTCTCTGTGCCCGCGCTGGCGCCCACGCTCACGTTCTCTCTGCAGTCTGGACAGCATTCCCGCCACCGCCTCGGGCAAGATTCTGCGACGCACGCTGCGCGACATCGGCAAGACACTGCCGCCGATTGCGAAGCCGCAGAAGAGCAGACTGTGAAGAACGACGCGCGGAGAGAACGGGGAGGTGTGGTATGCTACGACTCTTTGCGAGGTGCGAAATGACCATGCTATGATCGCGACGACGCTTGTGGGTCAGGTACAATGCGCCCAAGCCATGTCTCGGTACGAACGGCGCGACTGGGAGCGCCATTGGAGCGCAGCCGCCGCGAGGAAGAGAGCGTGTCTGCCGCTCACCGGCCGCTGGCGCGTGGCCTGCCCGCCGAATGAATCATCCCAAGCTGCGGCCATGCTGCCGAGCTTCGTCGAGGCCGAGCAGGTGGCTGCCTCTGTTCTGATGTGCACGCCTCGTTGCGCCGATGCTGCAGACACGAGACGAGCGAGGAGGGCTGCTGTCTGCGTCGTGGATCTGGCGCCGACATCTCTTGGGCACTTTGACGTGACGCCGCAGCACCTGCCACCGCTGCTCTTCTTGCGTTTCGACCAGCAGAGGCGTGCAGCGCTTTGACGGCCGTCGCGCAAGCATGGACGTCGAGCGCGCTGCTGCGGCCGTCAGGGGCCATGAGGTGTCGCTGAGCGAGCGGCAGCTGCACCTCGCTGCACCGCATCGACGGGCGCGCGCATCGAGGCGCGCGCGGCACCTTGAGCGAGTTGGCGCGCGCGAGAGTCGCTCGCGCGGCCTGCCAATGACGCCGGCGGCGCTGCGCCCGCAGGCCGCTTCAAACTCGGCTGCTGCTGCTGTGCCTGGCGAGAGGCCGAGGCTTGGCCGTGCTGCTCGCCTGCCTGCCCGCGCGCCGCCGCGCCGCGATGCCGTGGAGTCCGTCGCGTGCAGGTGGCGCTTGCTGTTCTTCGCCGGCCAGCGACCTCCTCCATCCCGACCCTCCGTCGCACCCAGCTCATCCATCCACCGCCTGCTCGTCTCGCAGCGTCCTCATCCTCGCCCACCCCTCTCCGCTCTTCCTGCCGCACCGCTCTCTCTGCGTCGTTGCACCTGCCTCTTCGCTCGTCTCTCTTCCCACGCCAGAGAGCCGGCCCTCGCGCCGCGCTTGAGCCCTCTCCCACACACCCGCACCCGCACCCCGCGCTCGCCCGTCATTCCGAGGGTACTCGACCTCCGGCTTCTCGGCGCCATCAAGGCTTTCCTCTCGGTCGACTCGCGGTGAGTTGTGCTGCGCGGCGGGCCCGAGTGGCATGCCAGCGGCAGGCGCAGGCCAAGGGGCGTGCTTGGCCTCGGCCCTGCCGCACGCAGACCACCCACTGTGCATAGCTCACTCTGCTCCCTCTCTAGTCCCGGCTAACAGCCCCCCACTCCACGCTTGGATCACACACCTTCTCCCGCTCCCGCCTTCAACCGGCCGCCTAGCGACGGACTTTCTCTCACGGAAAGGCTCTCACCTTGCTCGGGCGTCCCACTTGCCTCTCTCGCACTCTTCGTCTGCTCTTCGCTGCCTTGCCCGTTGCCCTCACGGTGAGTAGCGCGTGACCGCTGCGCTCGAAGGCGGGGGATGCGAGGGCCAGCGAGACCGATGGGCCGAGTGGTGCGAGACGGCCGCTCGCGCGGGCGTGGGCGGTCTTTGTCTCTAGGGCTTCGGGCGACAAGGCTAGTGGGGCCAGACGGATGCCGAGCGGAGCCATACTCGCGGCATCACACTCTGCGGCACGCCCGCGCGCAGAGCGGCAGCGTGGGCCTTGCAGCCAGGCGCGTTGGGCAGCGGGCGTCGTATGCAGCGGCGGCGCGGGGGTGTGCGTGGGTCGTGGGCCGCGAGACGCAAATGCCACCGTCGGAGGAGGCGACGCACGATGCATCGACGTCGTGCTGGCCGTCGTAGCTGCGGCGGCAGCGGCGCCCGGGCGTACCACTCGGCTGGCCGGCGTGCACGTTGCGAGACGCGCGCGGCGCGGCACGCCGGCACGCTACCGCGCTGGGTCAAGGGCTCGCCGCTTCGCCCGCAGCCCACACGCGCGCGCGCGTGTTGCGCCAGCCCTTGAGCAGCGCCATCGCTCCGCGAGCCCGCTGCCCCATCTGCGCACGCATCGCTTGTACACACACGCTCTCCATCGTTGGAGGCGCGCACCGCGCCATGCCCGCCGCACCCGTCGTCCCATCGTCTGGTCTGCAGCAGTGCTGATGCTGCCCACTCCTCGCAGCCAGACAGCCTACGGTCTGCGCCCGTCGACCTACGTGAGTTGCTTAAGAAGGCCCGCCGCATCTGTCGCTCCTTGCCAGTCCCTCCTGCCATCGCGCTCACCCTGCCCGCCATGCGTCGCTGCTCCATCTACAGTCTGCCCAACGTCATGCTGCCCATCTCCCGCCCCGCCACGCCGCCGCTCGACGGGCCAGTGTTCGGCAAGGCTGCCGCCGCGGCCGCGGCCGCCTCGACGTCGGCCATTGCGCCGCCGCCGCCCAGCACGCCCATCTACGCCGGCAGCATCGAGAGCCAGCTGCGCGCCGTGCTGCAGAGCATCGACGTCGACAGCTGCGAGGCCAACGGCGAGAATGCCTTCTTCGTCGCCGACCTGGCCGAGGTGTATCGGCAGCATGTGCGCTGGATGCGCGAGCTGCCGCGCGTCGTGCCGTTCTACGGTGAGGCGTCGCTGCTGGTCCTGCGCCACGGCCTCTTACTAAACCTCCTCTTCTCTCCAGCGGTCAAGTGCAACCCGGACCCGTATGTGCTGCGCCTACTCGCCGCCCTCGGCTCCGGCTTCGACTGTGCCTCCAACGGCGAGATCCAAAGCGTGCTCGACCTTGGCGTGTCGCCCACGCGCATCATCTACGCCAACCCGTGCAAGGCCTCTTCGTTTGTGCGCACCGCCGCTGCTCAGGGCGTCGGCATGGCGACGTTTGACAACGCCGACGAGCTGACCAAGATGGCGCGCTTCCATCCGCGCTGCAAGCTCGTCGTGCGCATCCTCACCGACGACTCCAAGAGTGCCTGCCAGCTGGGCCTGAAGTTTGGCGCGCCCCTCGACAGCGTGCCGCGGCTGCTTGCGCGGGCCAAGGAGCTCTGCCTCGACGTCGTCGGCGTCAGCTTCCACGTCGGCTCGGGCTGCTACGACCCCGACTCGTTCCGCGATGCCGTGCTGCGCGCTCGCCGAGCATTCGACATGGGCCGCGAGGCCGGCTTCGAGTTTGATCTGCTCGACGTGGGCGGCGGCTATGCGCACGACAACTTTGAGAGCATCGCCGCGGTGCTGCGCCCCGCCATCGATGCGTACTTTCCCGATGCCGAGTTTGCGCCGGGAGGCTCGGCCGTGCAGCACAGCCCGCACGGCCTGCGCATCATCGCCGAGCCGGGCCGGTACTACGTGCAAAAGGCCTTTGTGCTCGCTGCCAACATCATCGCCCGGCGCGACGGGCGCAAGGACGATGCCGAGGGTGTGGTGGAGCACTCGACTGCCGCGCCGGCGCTGCCGAGCGCCGAGGACAAGCCCGAGGTCATGTACTATCAAAACGACGGCATGTACGGCGCGTTCAACTGCATTCTCTTCGACCATCAATCGGTGCATCCCAAGGTGCTGACGCTGGGGCACGACTTTCTCTACGAGCCCTCGCTGCCCGCTCCCGGCGTGCGAGCTGCGGCGCCCAGCGCCTCGGCGGCGCAGCGCCGCGCGCTGACGCTGCAGCCGTGCAGTGTGTGGGGCCCGACGTGCGACTCGATCGACTGTGTGCGTGCGCTGGCGCACCTGCCGCGCGGCCTCGAGGTGAGCGACTGGCTCGTGTACGAGGACATGGGCGCGTACACCATCTGCGCCGCCAGCGGCTTCAACGGCCTGCAGCAGAGCCAGGTGCGCTACACCATCGGCGCAGAGGGCAGAGACGCCGATGCGGTGGCCGCGCTGCTGGGCGCGCCGCAGTACTGAAGGCAGCCGAGCCTCTCTCTCTCTTTCTCTCTCTCTCTCTACGTCGCCCATCTCGGCCGCGTCACACCTACTCTACTCTACGGCACTGCTACCTCTATCTAACGCCCCCCGATGCCGCTGCGCACGCCCAAAACCGAATGCATGTTGTGCTCTGGCCGAGCGGATGTGAGAGCGAGCAGAGGCAGCGTGGGCCATCGGCCCTCGTGCCGTGCCGAGATGGGCGCCGCGAAGCCGGCTGCTCTGGGCAGGGGCGCGATACTACCTCATGCGCCGTGACATACCTGCCGCGCTGAGGCGCCATGCCGCTGCAGCAGAGCGCAGCAGCATGCAGCAGGGCGATCTGGAAGGGCGAGTTCGACGACGGCAGGCGCTGCGGAGAAGGCGCTGATAGCCCGCCGCCGGGCCGGCGGGACTCGAGATCGAGAGCGGAGCGTGGAGGCGTGAGGCCGATAAGGCTCGCGCTGGCGCGCCCAAGGCCACGCTCGTGTGCCGGCTGCCCGAGCTGCCGCGTTGCAGCAGAGCGGCAGACGCTTTGGCTAACGTACGGCCAGCAGTCATTCAGGCGCCAGGTGGCTCGAGGCAGCAGACAGACGAGGCGGCCGGCGGCTCAGGCGGAGGGTTGAGAAGCGGTGAAAGATATCTTGTGCGAGGGCCGTGCGCTTCGACGGCCGGCCGTGCGCCTCGCCTCGCCTCGCCCAGCTCGAGTCGCCCGTCTCCCTGCTCGCACCTCTCACCACCACCTCTCGTGCTCTCCGCACGACGACCTCTCTCTCTAGCCCGCGCGCCACCTTCTCTCACCAGGCCGCGTCGCCGCTCGTCTGTTGCAGGTGAGTCTAGTTGCGGTGCAGCGAGCCTGAAGCACGAAGCGATGTGCGCGGCCGTCGCTCTCCGCGCCGCTTGCTGCACGGCGGCCCGGCTCCGCCTCGCGCTGCGCCCGGGCTCGCGCGCGGCGATGTCGGGCCAGCGGCTTGAAAGGCGCCGCGCGGCGCTGCTCGGTGGCCGGCTCACGAGCCGGTGCCGACGGGGCGCTGGCCGTGGAGCGCACGCCGCTGCTTCAGCACAGCTGCCGAGTCCGAGTGCCGCTCGTCACGGAGCTGCCTCTGCACCGAACGTCGCGGCGGCTGCAACGTGGGGCCGTGCTGCGGCTGTGTGCTGCGCGCGGTGCGATAGCGGGGCGCTGCTTGGCTGCGAGGATGGAGGTGCGCCGCCGCACCCGGCGCCGGCAGCCTTCCGCAGCTCTCCTTCTGCTCGGCGAAGGCCCGGCTAGAAGCGCTCCTGAAGCCGTCACTTTGCGCTGCTGCTGCTTCGGTTGAGCATTTTGAGGCTCTCGCTGCGTGCCTGCGAGCGATGTGCTGGGGCGCGGACCTCAGAGCGCTGCTCAGGGTGCGGCCCGCTGCTGGCCGGCTCGCAGTCACGCGCGCGCGCCCCCGCTTGGCTTGTGCGCGTGGTGCCGGTGCGGAAGCGGGTGCAGCTCGCGCCGCCGCGCAGGGGTGGAGCATCGCGCCCGGCAGGCAGGCCGGCTGTGTGTGCTGGAGCCAGTGGGCAGCCAAGACAGCGACAGATCGGCGGCCAGCACAGCGCACGGCACCGCATGACCGCTCGCCTCGCTCCGCACTTGCGCTCATCTTGCTCTCCCACCACCACCCTGCCCTCACAGGCACCTCTTCCGCCCTCCTCTCCCTGGCCCGTGCCGCCGCCGCCCGCCATGACGACGCAGCCCGTGACCGCGACGGCGCCTCCGGGCGTGCCGCGCTCCGCCTTTGTCGACTCGTTCGAGTCGCAGCCCGGCACGCCCGGCTCGCGCACCGGCCACGTCTTTCCCAGCATCAACCGCATCCGCAAGAACCTCGGCGGCGAGGGCGCCGGCCCGCTCAAGAAGCTCATGGTCGCCAACCGCGGAGTGAGTGTGCGGCAGGCCAGCAGGCAGAGGCGACAGCGAGCAGCCAGCATGGCGAGGCGAGCACGACCTGGCCGAGGCTCGAGTCAGCACCAGGTGTGACGAGGGAGGATCGCCGCGCCGCCCGTGCGCGCCGCCGCGGCCTCGGCGGAACTCTGCTGCTGCAGTGCCGCGCGCCTCGCCTCCTTCGCGCGCTGCTTCGCCCCGCGCGCGATAAGCATGCTCTTGCGTCATGCTTGCGCGCCGCTCGTCGGGACTGGCGCTTCTGCCGCAGCTGCGAGAGGGGATGCGCGGAGGAGTTGCGCGTGGCCGCAGCTGTCGGCGTGGCCGTGCACCTTCTCACTGCCCGTCGCTCGGCCAGCGCACACCGGCCGCAGCGCACTGACCATGCCGCGCGCGCCCACAGGAAATCTCGATCCGCATTGTGCGCAGCGCCCACGAGCTGGCCATGACGACCGTTGCGCTCTACTCGTTCGAGGACCGGTACAGCGCACACCGATACAAGGTGAGTGGAGAGCGAGTGGGAGGCGCGGCGGGCGGGTCGGCAATCTTGGCGCGCGCCGGCGAGCTGTACGCGCGCAGGCCATGCGCGCGATGTGCGTCCACTCCGCTCGCGCACAGCGGCGCAGGCGGAGATACTGCACTGCACCGCACTGGCCATTCGTCCACTCACCCCTGTGCACCAGGCAGACGAGGCCTACCAGGTCGGCGCCGGCCTCTCGCCGGTGCAGGCCTACCTGGCCATCGACGACATTATCCGCATTGCGCTGGAGCACGGCGTCGACATGATCCAGTGAGTGCAGCGTCTGGCGCGCCCAGCGCAGCGCGCCCTGACGCGACGCTTCGCGCGCAGCCCCGGCTACGGCTTCCTGTCGGAGAACCACCACTTTGCGCGCAAGGTCGAGGAGGCGGGCATTGCGTTCATCGGCCCGCGGCCCGAGACGATCGACGGGCTGGGCGACAAGACCAAGGCGCGCGACCTGGCGCGCGACGCCGGCGTGCCCATCGTGCCCGGCACGCCCGGCCCCATCGAAGACTACCGCGAGGCGGCCGACTTTGTCAAGGAGGTCGGCTTCCCCATCATCATCAAGGCGGCCATGGGCGGCGGCGGGCGCGGCATGCGCGTCGTGCGCAACCAGGAGGACTTTGAGGAGTCCTTCTCGCGCGCCAAGAGCGAGGCCAAGAGTGCGTTTGGCGACCCGACGGTGTTCATCGAGCGCTTCCTCGACCGGCCACGCCACATCGAGGTGCAGCTGCTGGCCGACGGCGAGGGCAACGTGGTGCACCTCTTCGAGCGCGACTGCTCCGTGCAGCGCCGCCACCAGAAGGTCGTCGAGGTGGCGCCGGCGCACAACCTCGACGACGGCTGCCGCCAGCGCATCCTCGCCGACGCCGTCAAGATTGCCAAGACGGCCAACTACCGCAACGCCGGCACGGCCGAGTTCCTCGTCGACCAGCAGAACCGGCACTACTTCATCGAGATCAACCCGCGCCTGCAGGTCGAGCACACGATTACCGAGGAGATCACGGGCATCGACATTGTCGGCGCGCAGATCCAGATTGCCGCCGGCGCGACGCTCGCCGACCTGGGCCTGACGCAGGCGACGATCCAGAAGCGCGGCTCGGCGATCCAGTGCCGCATCACGACGGAGGACCCGGCGCAGGGCTTCCAGCCGGACACGGGCCGCATCGAGGTGTACCGCAGTGCCGGCGGCAACGGCGTGCGCCTCGACGCCAGCAGCGGCTTTGCCGGCGCGCAGATCACGCCGCACTACGACTCGCTCCTCGTCAAGGTGACGTGCCGCGGCGCCACGTACGAGGTGACGCGGCGCAAGATGCTGCGCGCGCTCGTCGAGTTCCGCATCCGCGGCGTCAAGACGAACATCCCCTTCCTCTTCCGCCTGCTGACGCACGAGGCGTTTGCCGAGGCGCGCACGTGGACGACGATGATCGACGACACGCCCGAGCTCTTCAACCTCGTGCAGAGCAAGAACCGCGCGCAGAAGCTGCTGGCGTACCTCGGCGACATGGCCGTCAACGGCTCGCAGCTGCTGGGCCAGATTGGCGAGCCGGGCCTCAAGACGGAGATCCAGAAGCCGCCGTTCAGGGACCCCGCGGACCCGAGCAAGCCGCTCGACGCCACCAAGCCGTGCCTCGAGGGCTGGCGCAACATCATCGTCAACGAGGGCCCCGAGGCGTTTGCCAAGGCCGTGCGCGCCTACAACGGCACGCTCATCATGGACACGACGTGGCGCGACGCGCACCAGTCGCTCTTTGCCACGCGCCTGCGCACCATCGACATGGTCAACATTGCCAAGGAGACGAGCCACGTGCTGAAGAATGCCTTTGCGCTCGAGTGCTGGGGCGGCGCGACGTTTGACGTGGCGATGCGCTTCCTGTACGAGGACCCGTGGGAGCGGCTGCGCAAGCTGCGCAAGCTCGTGCCCAACATTCCCTTCCAGGCGCTCATCCGCGGCGCCAACGCCGTCGGCTACACGAGCTACCCGGACAATCTCATCTACGAATTCAGCAAGAAGGCCGTCGAGTGCGGCCTCGACATCTTCCGCGTGTTCGACTCGCTCAACAACCTCGACTCGCTCAAGCTCGGCATCGACGCCGCCAAGAAGGCCGGCGGCGTGGCCGAGGGCACCATCTGCTACACGGGCGACGTGGCGAACCCGAAGAAGCACCCAAAGTACACGCTCGAGTACTACCTCGGCCTCACCGACGAGCTCGTCAAGGTGGGCATCCACGTGCTCGGCATCAAGGACATGGCCGGCCTGCTGAAGCCGGCCGCGGCGCGCATGCTCGTCGGCGCCATCCGCAAGAAGTACCCCGAGCTGCCGATCCACGTGCACTCGCACGACACGGCCGGCATTTCGCTGGCGTCGATGATTGCGTGTGCCGAGGCGGGCGCCGACGTGGTGGATGTGGCCATCGACTCGATGTCGGGCCTCACGTCGCAGCCGTCGATGGGCGCGCTCGTCACGTCGCTCGAGCAAACGGGCCTCGGCCCCGGCATCCGCCACGAGGACATTCAGAACCTCAACCTCTACTGGGCCCAGGTGCGCCAGCTCTACTCGTGCTTCGAGGCCAACGTCAAGGCGAGCGACTCGAGCGTCTTCGACCACGAAATGCCCGGCGGCCAGTACACGAACCTCATGTTCCAGAGCCAGCAGCTCGGCCTCGGCTCGCAGTGGAACGCCATCAAGGATGCCTACATCGAGGCCAACCTGCTGCTCGGCGACATTGTCAAGGTCACGCCGTCGTCCAAGGTCTGCGGTGAGTGACAGCACGAGGGTGGGGCCAAAGGCGCTGCGCATAGCTCACCTCCCTGTCTGCAGGCGACCTGGCGCAGTTCCTCGTCGCCAACAAGATCTCCTCCAAGGAGTTCGTCGAGAAGGTCGACAAGCTCGACCTGCCCTCGTCGGTGATCGAGTACTTCGAGGGCCGCCTCGGCACGCCGCCCGGCGGCTTCCCCGAGTTCCGCGACCGCCTGCTGCGCGGGCGCCCCAAGATCGAGGGCCGTCCCGGCGCCGGGCTGGAGCCGACGGACCTGCCGAAGATCAAGAAGGAGCTGACGAAGAAGTACGGCAAGACAATGTCGACGACGGACGCCATCTCCTACGCGCTGTACCCCAAGGGTGAGAGCGCGCCAAAGTGTCCGACTGGTTGCCGCGTGCATGTGCTGACTCTTGTCGCCGCCCCCCCCCCCCCCCCCCCAGTCTTTGAGGAGTTCCAGGCCTTCCTGGAGAACTACGGCGACCTCTCGACGCTGCCGACGCGCTTCTTCTGCGGCAAGCCCGACGTGGGCGAGGAGTGCCAGGTGTTCATCGAGAGCGGCAAGATGCTCATCGTCAAGCTGCTCGCCGTCGGTGCCGTGTCGGAGAAGGGCACGCGCGGTGAGTTGCGTGTGGGGAGAGAGGGGGTCGTGGACGGTGAGACTGACGCTCATATGCCTCTCCCTCCCTCCTTGCCTTTCTCTCTCTCTCTCTCTCTCTCTCTCTCTCTCTCTCTCTCCTCGTCCTCTGCCTCGCCTTGCCTCTTCACCTCTCTCCTGATGCCCCCGCCAGACGTCTTCATGGAGCTCAACGGCGAGAGCCGCGTGCTGACCGTCGAGGACCGCAGTGCGGCCGTGGAGCACGTGTCGCGCGAGGTGGCGGACAAGGGCAACCCGGGCAGCGTGGGTGCGCCGCTGGCGGGCGCCGTCGTCGAGATCCGCGTCAAGGAGGGCAGCGAGGTCAAGACGGGCGATCCGCTGCTTGTGATGAGTGCCATGAGTGAGTGGACCGCAAGTGTGTGTGAGCTGCGTGGGAATAGGACGCTGACGCTTGTGTACGTGTTTGCCAGAGATGGAGAGCTCCGTCTCGGCCCAGGTCAACGGCAAGGTCAAGCGCATCGTCGTCAACCAGGGCGACTCGGTGAGCCAGGGCGACCTGCTGCTCGAGATTGTGCACCAGTAAGGCGTGTATGCAGCAGGAGGAGGGCGTCACAGCGACGGCCAGTCGGCGCGCGTTGGCGCCCTCTCTCTCTCTCTCTCTCTCTCTGCCTCTCGGCCCCATAGCGAGCGTGACTCTGTGCGTCCTGCTTGTGTTTCTTGATCCGCGTTAGAATGTGATTTGCGTGAACGTGAGGGGATGCTGGCGAGGCGGAGAGAGAGTGGAAGGCGCGAGAGGCCGGCTCGAGTTGGGCAGAGCATCGGCGCACTACAACAATCGCGCGGCCGACTTGGAGAGCGCGCCGTTGTATTTGGCGATTCCCACGCGCGCGCCGCGCCCTCGACGCGCCACTTTGCCTCACAACACCCAACACCCCACCCCCCCCCCATCGACCAAGGAGCGCCACTACGCGCACCTGGCCGCGCGCCTCGCCGCGCTGGCGCAGGGCCTGCACAACACGCAGCTCCACGTCGCCGTCGCGGCCGAGCATGCGGCCTACGTGCGCAAGCTCGGCGCCGGACAGGGCGCGCTGTGAGTGTTGCTTGTTTGTTGGGCTGCCGCATGGGCTGCGAGTTGAGAGCGAAACATGCCGATGCGGGGAGAGGGACCGAGGAGAGGAGGGTGCGAGGGGGCGGGGGGAGGGCGGGGCGGGGCGGGGCGGGCACGGCTGCCTCCAGCTCACTTCGGCGCTGGCAGCCGGGGCGAAGCGGCACGATGCGGGGCAGCTCGATGCCGCAGCAGGC